CCGATCATGGGCTCCGCGTCATACGGTCGCGGCGGACCTTTTTGGCACGGAGGCGGTGGAGGGGAAGGTTCCGCCGTCGGTGGCTACTCAACTTTTCAGCCGCCGACTGGTGGCTTCGCCATCGGCCACGGCGGCGGAAGGATCGCCCATGGTCATTACGGCGATAGAAGGGGCGCTGGTGGCGGTGGTGGGGGATGGGGAAGACGTGGTGGATCGAATCACGGAGAGCTGGATAACGTTTCTCTTCCCAGGCAGAATTTTGGGAATCTCGTCCCTTTCGAGAAGAATTTTTATGTCGAGTGCCCATCTGTGCAGGCGATGACAGAGCAGGATGTTGCAATGTACAGAAGCAGCCGTGATATATCTGTTGAAGGGCGCGATGTTCCTAAGCCTATCAGAATGTTCCAAGAGGCTAATTTTCCAGGTACGGATGAAGTGTTCTTTTGGTTCATGTTCTGAATATGTTAGATGTAATCTGACGTCTTGTCTCTTGAAAGTTGAAGTTGCTCCGGATGTTCTTGAGCTCGAGTGGGTTTCGTTTGGTTTTCACATTTTAGTTATGTTTTAGAGTTGAATCGCTTGCAATCTTCTATGGTCGTTCATTCGGATATGTGGGGATTGCTGGATTGAGTATTCTTGGTTACAGGTGCTTGAGCTCTTTTGACTGATTTCACTTCTACCATCTGTTTGTTAGATCATATCCTTGAAGTGATTGCGAGATTGGGCTTCACTGAGCCGACACCGATACAAGCTCAAGGATGGCCGATGGCATTAAAGGGTAGAGATTTAATCGGTATTGCTGAGACCGGGTCTGGTAAGACTCTGGCTTACTTGTTACCAGCTCTGGTACATGTAAGTGCACAGCCAAGATTGGGTGAGTGAGCAGCGACAACCTTTGTCTATGATTCACGGGTTTTCTTTCTATCTTTCTCCAATCATATTCTTACTTAAAAGTATCTCATTTGTGAGTTTAGCTCAAGATGATGGTCCAATAGTATTGGCGTTAGCTCCTACAAGAGAATTGGCTGTTCAAATCCAAGAGGAATCAAAAAAATTTGGGCTCCGGTCTGGTGTCAGAAGTACTTGTATCTATGGTGGTGCTCCTAAAGGTCCTCAGATTCGGGATCTTAGAAGAGGTACAGTGTTCCAATGATATTCTAGTTTTCCATAAGGTTTGGTCCTGAAAGGGACAAGAAACTCATGCATTGATGATTGTTGTAACAGGTGTTGAAATTGTCATTGCCACCCCTGGTCGTTTGATTGATATGTTGGAAGCCCGACATACAAATTTGAGGAGAGTGACCTACCTTGTCTTGGACGAGGCTGATAGGATGTTAGATATGGGGTTTGAGCCTCAAATAAGAAAGATCATTTCTCAGGCATGTTTCCTCTTCCTTGAAAGCTTTCGTGTGATGCTCGCATATGAAGGTTTTCTATATCTGAAAAGTTATACTGTGCTCGACTGTGGCTCACTCGTTAAATAGAAAAAAATTCCTGGTTTCAAGTGGGGTTGTATCTTTTTCTTTACAGATCCGACCTGATAGGCAGACATTGCTTTGGAGTGCGACATGGCCACGGGAGGTTGAATCTCTGGCCAGGCAATTTCTACGAGATCCATATAAGGTCATTACAACACTACTTCTACTACTACTACCACTACTACCTTCTAGGAATTCAATATATATTCAGTGTATAAAGTAGAGGTTGTTTATGTTGTGCTGAAAGCAATTGTTGATACTTGATACTTAGGTCATTATTGGATCGGCGGACCTTAAAGCTAATCAGTCTATTAACCAAATTATCGAGATTGTACCTGCATCAGAGAAGTACATCAGGTTCTGTAACCCGGGAGAAACAAATTTGAGGTTATGTGCCCACAGCTTTGTTCTGCTGATATGCTGACAATTTTTTCCCTATTGTAGGCTCATTAAACTGCTTAAACAGTTAATGGATGGGAGTAAAATATTAATTTTCGTGGAGACAAAGAAAGGGTGTGATCAGGTCACTAAGCAACTGAGAATGGATGGATGGCCAGCTCTGGCCATACATGGTGATAAGACCCAGTCAGAAAGAGATCGGGTCTTGTCTGAATTTAAGAGCGGCAGGAGCCCTATAATGACTGCTACCGATGTTGCTGCAAGGGGTCTTGGTAGGATAACTGTATGCTAGGAGGTCTAGACTATTCATTTCTGGGGTCAAACGAGTCGCCTGGCTGCTTTCCTTGATTTCCTATGGTTTAGAAAAGATACAAACTTGTGAATGTGGTCCGATTATGGCTGTTTTTTATTTACGTGACTAGCTGGGTTAGGGCTGTTTTAAAGGGTGAAGGGTATATTGCTATTTCTTAGAAGTTTCCTTTCTAGTAGTTGGAGCTGCAGCTTCGTGTGACATGGACACCGGGACAGCAGTTTGTGAAAAGTGCTGCGGTATCAGTCTGGAGATTATGCCTTGTTTCTTGGTTTCTGTTGTGAAAGGCCGTCTATGTCACAAGTGTCTTAAGTAGGGAGGTTGAAGCGGTTTTGTTCCGGACCCATCTCTCTGGTCATGGAGCCTGGTTGGTTTTTTCTGGGCAGCCTGGTTGACTCGTCAGCATGCATATATAGTGGGGTATGGCTGCTCCTTATCCCTGCAAAAGTTAAGGTGGGCACATTTACTTGACAAATGTGTTAATCTTAGTGTTTTGATCTTTCGGATCTTGCAGATGTAGGGATAAGGGGGGTTTGTTTCTATCCTATCCTAAGGTTAATTAATAGGCTAACTGATTCATTAAGTCATATGTCCAAGACCTTTCTTTGTAGTTTTTCTTTTCTAGTCGTTTCGGTTTTTTCCGGCTCTCCTCACGCTTGCATTATTGAAGAAGAGTTGATGATCATCAGCATCAGCATCATCATCAATGGGGTTTGATTTCTGAACTGGGTTGGTTGTCTTTCTTTTTTTGTAGATGTGAAGGACATAAAGTGTGTGATAAACTATGATTTTCCGACAAGCCTTGAGGATTACATACACAGGATAGGAAGAACCGGACGTGCGGGAGCAAAGGGAATGGCTTTCACCTTCTTCACGCATGACAATGCAAGGTTTGCAAGAGAACTCATCAAGATCCTCCATGAAGCTGGCCAAGTTGTTCCTCCCTCTTTATCTGACCTTGCCAGATCTGCCTCTTCTTCCGGGGGTTCAGGAAGAAACTTCCGATCAAGGGGGGGAGGACGAGGTGGCTTCGGCATGAGGTCAAATACTAATCCTTTTGGTGGAAGGAGGCCTTGGTAGTTACATCATCATCATCTTATGCTTTGAGGGTTTCAGATTTGATGATTAATGATGGATCTTGTTATGTTTCCTTTTTAGACATCTGATTACTTGTGTTTGGAAATATGGATTCTTGTTGGCTCTTAATCTTATTTGATGTTTCAGGTTTGTTAAAACATAAATTAAGAGAGACAATTAGGGCTCTTGCTCTCTCTGTGCTGATGTTTCCTTTTATTTTTTAAATCAAAGATCCAATCTTTTTTTTCGTTCTTTTATTTTTTTTTAGTATAAACATCATCTCACGTTAACCGAACCGCCTTAGCATTATCTATAAAACCCGCAAGACCTTTTCCTCAGAGACCTTGGTCCTTGTTCTACTGCCACAACGAGGAGAAGTTCAGAGAGAGAGAGAGAGAGAGAGAGAGAGAGAGAGAGAGAGAGAGAGAGAGAGAGAGAGAGAGACGAG